CAATGTGATTTCGATATTGACCATCTGGTGATGTCCATGTGTAGAGTCTTTTTGTTGTGTTTGTTATGACCAGTGTGTTCTCTTGGCAAAACTGTTAGCCTTTGCCCTGATTCATTTTGTACTCCAAGGGCAAATTTGCCTGTTACTCCAGGTATCTCTTGACTTCCTACTTTTGTATCCAGTCCCCTGTAATGAAAAGGACATCTTTTATGGTTGTTAGTTCTAGAAGGTCTTGTAGGTCTTCATAGAACCGTTCAACTTCAGCTTCTTCAGCATTACTGCTCGGGGCATAGACTTGGATTACTGTGATAGTGAATGGTTTGCCTTGGAAAAGAACAGAGATCATTCTGTTGTTTTTGAGATTGCACCCATGTACTGCATTTTGGACTCTTTTGTTGACTACGAGGGCTACTCGATTTCTTCGAAGGGATTCTTTCCCACAGTAGTAGATATAATGGTCATCTGAGTTAAATTCACCCATTCCAGTCCATTTTAGTTCACTGATTCCTAAAATGTTGATGGTCATTCTTACCATCTCCAGTTTGACCACTTACAATTTACCTTGATTTATGGACCTAACATTCCAGGCTCCTATGCAATAGTGACTCTTAGAGGGCACAACAAAATCTTGTGCACACAGGACCCAGGAGAAAGGAGAAGTGACCCCACAAAAGCCTGAGCCAGACTTGCCTGTGAGTGTCCTGGAGTATCCAGCAGAGGCATGAGTTGACAGTGGCCTGCTGCAGGATCAGGGGCACTGACCACAACAGTCCTGGGAATCACAGTGTGCTGGCATAAGTCCTTTCGAAGGAGGTCACCATTACTGCCATTACCCCTACCATAGTTTGGCCTCAGGCCAATCTACAGGGAGGGAACATAGCCCCACCCATCAGCAGAAAATTGGATTAAAGACTCACTGAGCATGGCCTTCCTTGCCAGAGCAAGACCCAGTTTTCCCCATAGCCAGTCGCTCCCATCAGGAAGCTTCCACAAGCCTCTTATCCTCGCCCATCAGAGGGCAGACAGAATGAAAACCACAATCACAGAAAACTAACCAAACTGATCACAGGGACCACAGTCTTGTCTAACTCAAGGAAACTATGAGCCATGCCATGTAGGGCCACCCAAGATGGATGGGTCATGATGGAGAGTTCTGACAAAACGTGGTCCACCAGAGAAGGGAATGGCAAACCCCTTCAGTATTCTTGCCTTGAGAACCCCATGAAAGTTATGCTGATGTGTTACAATGAGTGTATAATGAAGCACAAGGTCTAGTGCAAGTGGGCTTCTCCACCATCTTGTACTCTTTTGGTTTTAGTCTGTTTATGTCGTGCCCTTGGGCTATGTCATTCTTTCAAAGGTTGTGCCCTACCCCCTTCCCTCCTGTTTCACTACCCTGCAGTGGTGCCCATTAAGAAGCACCAACTGGAAGACCAAGATGAAGTAGAGTAAAAATGAGGCAACAGAAGCATCCAGAGATCAACACTTGTCCTAAAATTTTCCCTGTGTGACCATGGGGGCAAGGTCTCTATCCAGCTCTGCCCACATGTTCTCTGGGGCTCGTCACATTCCCTCTTCCCACCACACTTGGCCCTGAGCTCTTCTTCTTCCCCACACTCACCCTCTTTTCTCTCTCTCAATTCACTAGACACTTATCTTTTCCAAGAACTCTTCCAAAATTAGGAAGGGCATTGTTTATATAGTGTTAAAAGCATAACCACTGGAGTCAAACAGACCTGGGCTGTAATCTTAGCTCTGCCACTCGCTGGCTTAGTGATGCAGACAAGGGATGCATCCTTCCCCACCTGTGAAACATTAGTAATTATGTCAACCTGGCAGGGTAGTAATAAGGATCAAATGAGACAATATTTGAGGCTCAATCAGGGTAGTTAACGTTAGCTGCTATAACAAAAATTCCAAAATCTTGTGACTAGATACAGTAAGAGGTCACGACTCACTCAAGTCACAGGCTAATGTACATTGGGTGTCTTTCCTGTATAGCTCTCCCCCAAGAGGTGAGAGGACACAAGTTCCCAAGTTGAACCCAAGTTCAAGGACCAAGTTCCTTCCATTCCCTTGAAGTCCTCCAATCAGCCCTCTCCACTGGCTGACAGAATAGCAAAGACAGAGTGAAGAAGCCAGGCCAGGAAATAGCTCCCATCAATTCAACTCTACATTGGTTAAACCCCAGTCACATGTTCCACCTAAATGCAAGGCAAGCTAGGAGATTTAGTTGTCATGTGTATTCAGAAAGAGGAAATGGGATTGCTAACCATCTAGCCAGTCTCAGATACATTAAGTATTTAGCAGAAGGACTGATACACAGTAAGACCTCAGTACATAAAAGATATAATTACTTTCTATTGGTACTGATATGAATACCAGAAATCACTGAACCTCAGCTGGACTTTTCACAACATTGAGATTGAAAACTGAATACAAACCAGAATGAACACTGAATTTCTTAAAAGAAAATGATATGGCAATCATACATCTGACACAATTCCTGTTCTAGGTGCTTTCTTTGAGGCACCAGGATACACTGGAATAGTCTACATTCAACTGCTGACTCTGCCCCAAGCAAAACATTAAATTATATCAGTTATGGTGGTTTCCTTTTTTTAAAATTAGGGATGCTAATTTACCCACTTTACAGGATGCTTTTTAAAAATGCCACATTCCCTCTTACCTAAGCAAATGCTTCCCTCTGTCTGAAAACTCTTGTCTCTTCTTCACCCAGCCACCTCCTACTGATTCCTCAGGCCTCAGTGTAGATGTCACCTCCTCCAGGAAGCCTTCCTTATCCTCAATCACAGTCATGGTAGAGTGTCTGTTTCCTGTGTCCCCATGTGAGCTGTACTTCCCTTCCCAGAACACTTACCACAGCATGTTAAAAATCTCTGTTTACTTTCTGTCTCTAGTTGAGTGTTCATTTCTTGGGGGAAGGGACCTTGTTTTCATCACCATTTTATCCTCAGCCTCAATAATGTGCAGGCACACAATATCCCCAGGCACATAATGATTTGCAGTAAATGTATGTCATAAGAATGCATTAAGAAAAAAAATAATAAATTAAGAATCCTGATCCTTCTTAAACTGGTGAGAGGAGTACAGACTTGGAAACTCTTACAACTCAACACAAAACTAAAAGTAAAGACAAGTTTAGAAAGACACTGTATAGCATATGCCGCCTTATAAAGGTCACTGGGAACTAATACGTCATGTCAGACAGTAGCCACACCCTTGGGTCATGCCTTGGTACTTGTGAGCAACTGGACATCTTTCAATATCTCAGTTAAGCAGCAGAGGATGCAAAAAATATCCTCATGCATTAAAAACTCTGGGACTCTTATCCTCTGTGCTGATGTGAAAGTGTGACAACAAGAGCTGGCCACTTAAGGTGACCTTGACTGACCATATGTCCTACTGGGCTTGTATATATCACTCTCCACTATCTATGGGGCTGGTGCATCCCTGACCTTCAATGACCACTATCAAAAAATGATGTCTTTCTAGTCCCAAGGTAGACCCTTAGATGCAGGACTGTACTTCCACGCCCCCCCCACACACACAGTCTGAACCACAGAGGTGAAGCGGACAGTTTGTCCCCCATACTCTGATTATCTTCTATGCACCTAGAGCAAAGTCTCAGATGAGCCAATTGCCAGAGATATGAGTGACTGACGATGTTTACCCAGTTCTCCCAGAGCACTGTTGTTCAATCACCAAGTTGTGTCTGACTCTTTGTGACCCCATGGACTGCAGCATGCTAGGCTTCCCTGTCTCTATCTCCCGGAGTTTGCTCAACTTCATGCCCATTAAGTCAGTTATGCTATCAAACCAGGTTCTCATCCTCTGCTGCCCCCTTCTCCTTTGGCCTTCAATCTTTCCCAGCATCAGGGTCTTTTCCAATGAATCAGCTCTTCATATCAGCTGGCCAAAGGATCGGAGCTTCAGCTTCAGCATATTCAGGGTTGATTTCCTTTAGGATTGACTGGTTTGATCTCCTTGCTGTCCCAGGGACTCTCAAGAGTCTTCTTCAGCACCAAAGTTTGAGAGCATCAATTCTTCCACGCTTGGCCTTCTTTATGATCCAACTCTCACATCTGCACATGACTACTGGAAAAACCATAGCTTTGAGTATACAGAACTTTGTTAGCAAAACGATGTCTCTGCTTTTTAATACAGTCTAGGTGTGTCATAGCTTTCCTTCCAAGGAGCAAGCATCTTTTAACTTCATGGCTGCAGTCACCATCTGCAGTGATTTTGGAGTGTGTGTGGAGGTGTGGGGGTGGTAACACGAGATTTCAGGCAGGTGAGGGAAACTAAAAAAGTCTGGAAGACGTCATGAGCACCGCTTCGAAAACATTAAGCAGGTAGGAGACTGCATATTTTACTGTTAAGTTTAGCTCAGAGCCCTACACCAAGGTACTTGGCAATGCCAAGGCTCACACATACCTGTCCTCTCACACATTCCCTGAGCACAATCTCCTTCCCCGACTCGTACCTCCGTACAATTTGCTCTGACACCCTCACCTCACCTTCCGCGCCCACGGGGCAAGGCTGTCCCTCGCCTTGCCCCTGTGGGCAATCTACCCCCTTGCCCGAACCTGTGCCCCAAAACACACACAAACACACACCCCCCTCCAGGCTACCCAGATTGCTTTCACTCGATTGCACTAGAGGCCCCGGAAGGTGAGGAAGGTGAGAGTTGACCAATCCCGGTCCCGGCCGGGGACAGCAAGACCCCGCCCTGGCGCTCCCCAGCTTCCTCTCCTCGAGCTCGGGCAGTCGGCGCACAGGGCGGCAGGCTCGACTCCGTGACGCAGCGGCGTGTGGGCGGGGCGTCTCGAGGCCCCGCCCTTCTGACGTCAGCCTCTCGGGGCGTGAGCGGACTCCCCAGGCTAAGGTTTCAGTCGCAGCCGAGTAGAGCCGCTGCCGGAGGCGAGCTTCTCGGCTCCGGCTTTGGCCCCGACACGGGAGAATGCGGTGCGCCCAGGATGCTGCCGCGCCAGATAGTGAAGCTGGCGGCGCTCCTCAGCCTGCTCCTCGGCTCCCGCGCGCACGGTAAGGATCTGGGTCTAGCCTCGCCCTCCGCGCCCATCCCGCTCCCTCTTCCCCCGGTTGTCAACTGTGCATTAAAGTTCTGCCTCCCACGGAGAACCCCCGTCTGACTGACCGGCCCTCTGTGGAGAGAGCCGCCCATTATCTCCCCCCTCCCCGAATCTCCTGCGTCTGGCAAGCCCGAGTCTCAGGCTCACACGTTGTAGACGTCTAACAGGCTGAGATTGAGTGGGGTAGTGGGGAAGTGTGGATAGAGAAGTTAAATGACCACCCACCCCACCCCACCCCCGCTTCAACTCACAGCCCACCCACGTCCCGGTGAGTCATAAATTCAGCCCTGACTCTTTTGTTGTTCTAGTTCAAATTATGGGACTGGTGGTCCCTCTGGGAAATTACTTTGATCTCAGTCTAACTACTTTTCCTTAGTTCTCCGATTAACCTGTTTCTTCCCCCGGGCCATGCCACCCCTCAACTCTTTTCCTCCACCATCACCTGTCACCCCCATCGTATCATCCGTTCTCCTCCTTTAGCCCCCAAAGCATTCCCACTGCCACCTGCATTTTCCTCCCTACTGTTACCCTTTAGCTCTCCTAACCCAGCCAGATGTCCTGGAAAGTTTCTGCAATTGAAAAGGCTAAATCCTGAAGGGAGAGAATGAAAGGGCGGGGAGTCCCAGGAACAGAGGCAGAGAGAGCAGGGAGACAGCCAGAATATGAAGTAAAACGTGAGGTCACCGGTCATGTGATCGAGAGCTGAGCTGGGGATGTGTAGCCCAAACACCACAGAGACCCACTGTACTTTTCACTTTCCATATACTGTTCTGAAATTGAGAAACAGACTTGAGGACCGAAGACAGTATAAGAAAGAAAGCAAGATGTGCTTTCTAAGTGAGAACGACAGTCAGAAAAAAAAAAGAAGCATTATTAGAGAGATGATAAGTTGGAGAACCAGGGCAGCTTGGGAGTCTCTGTCAGATGCAGAGACATTAAGGGATTGGGGAGAGAAGAGGAACTGGGTGTTGACATTGGCCTTGACATGCTTCATTGCACTTAAAGGGCAAATCTTCATTGCAAGATTCTTAAAGTAGTTGTATTTATCGCATTCTTACAAATGAGAAGATTTCTGCTAGGTTAAATGATTTGCCCAAGTCACACTAGCAAGTGCTAGTTTGCAGCTCTTGAAGTTAATTTTCCTTGATGAATGGTGTGTGGAGGAGGGAGGGGAAGACAGGAGATGGAGAGAGGCTTTGGTATTTAGTATCTTCCCTGGTGGCTCAGGTGGTAAAGAATCTGCCTGCAATGCAGGAGATGAGGGTTCAATCCGTGGCTCAGGAAGATCCCTTGGAGGAGGAAATGGCAACCCACTCCAGTATTCTTGCCTGGAGAATTCCATGGACAGAGGAACCTGGCAAGCTACAGTCCATGGGGTCTCAAAGAGTCTGACACAGCTGAGCGACTAACACACACACACACATCTCACCTTGGAGCCAAGGGTGCCAGTTCTTTGTGGAAATGTCCTCAGCCCAGTCTAGGATCAGAACTATTTGTTGTACTCAGGCTGAGCCTGGATATCTGGCTGCAGTAAAGCTCTCCTGGAAGCTGGGGAATGGGGCAACTACTCAACTTGGGCTTCTGTGAAGAGAAACAGGTAGATGCCAATGAGGAGGATATCTGTGTACCAAAGAACTCCAGAGAGGGGGGCCTTGGGTTAAGGCCAGAACTGGGGCCAGAGTGGGAACCTGATGTGGGGATGGGAAGCAGACCTTAGGATGGGGCTGAAGCAGGCGCAGGGATTGGGCGCAGCCAGGGACCAGCTCATCTGAGAGCTCATTGTGGGCAGAGATTAACCCCCTGCCCCTACCTTCTTGCCTGGAATGCATCACACCCAGCTTGTCTCTTCTCACTTCTGCTTTTGATCCCAGATAGCTCAGGATGGTGATTTAAGGACACATTAGCTCTGGGATAAGATCCATCTGGATTCAAGGGCCCATTCTACCCTACTATCCCCACTGACCTTGGGCAAGTCACTTAAAATCTCTGTACCTTCATTGCTTCTCTAGTAAACTTGGGGTAATAGATGCCTACCTTGTATGACTACTGTGGTTATTAAATGAGACACAGTATATGTAAAGTACTTAGCTGAGTGCTCAATAAATGGGAGGTGTTAGAATGCTTGGGCTTCCCTGGGGGCTCAGTGGTAAAGAATCCGCCTGCAATGCAGGAGACTTAAGAGACATGGATTCAATCCCTGGGTTGGGAAGATCCCCTGGAGGAGGGCATAGCAACCCACTCCAGTATTCTTGCCTAGAGAATCCCATGGACAGAGGAGCCTGGCAGGATACAGCCCATAGAGTCCCAAAGAGTCGGACACGACTGAAGCGACTTCGCAGGCAGGCAGAATGCTTGCAGCCATCTGCAGCAGCATCTCTTCCCCGGGGTGGGTCAGGGGAGGCTCTGCTACCTCTAGTACTGACACTCTCCTCTCTTTGGACAGAACTGCCCAGACCTCCTTCTGTGTGGTTTGAAGCAGAGTTTTTCCACCATGTCCTCTACTGGACACCCATCCCAAATTCGTCTGAAAGTACCTATTATGAAGTGGAGCTCCTGAGGTAAGCAAAAAGGAGGGTGGAGAAAGGAGTTAGATGAGTGAGGAAGTGGAAGACTGCATCCCCTTCCACCCCGCTAGCATGGGAAGATACCTGCCTTGTTACTGAAATGACACCAGGAGGGACCCTGGCACATATCCATCAGTTGACAAGTACTGATCAAGTCTCATGTGTGCCGAGCAGTATACTGGGAGCTTGGGATGAGAAAGCCAAGCCTTTACCCTCAGGACTTTTCCATCTTGTTGGAAAAACAGGAAAAGTGTCCATAAGACAGTTGGAGAACAAGGAAGCCCCAAGGACTGCGGATGAAATTGGGAGAAGGAAGGAAGTGGGCTGTGTTGCAGAGAGTAGAAGCAAGTCTTCCTGAAGGAGTTGGCATTTGAGCTACTCATATTCCAATCTGAGAGTCTTCTGGACCACAGAGAAACTGACTCAGAGCCCCAGAACCAAGGGAGATCCACTTGCAGCTGGATGCCCCATACTAGAGGGAATACCCTGAGGGCTGTATTGTCATTCGAGCTCTCCCCTGGCCCCTTGCTTCCCTCCTAAAGGAGGTAGGTTGAAGCACAAGTTCCTCTCCCCATGCCTACCCTGCTCTCTCACAGGTATGGAATAGAGCCCACCTCCTGGAAGCGCATCCTGAGCTGTAGCCAGATGCTGGTGATGTCCTGTGATGTCACCATGGAGACCCTGGACCTGTACCGCAGCAACGGTTACCGAGCCAGAGTCCGGGCAGTGGACGGAAGCCAGCATTCCAACTGGACCTTTCCTGAAACCCGCTTCTCCGTGGATGAAGGTGCTTCTCCTCCCCTGGGCCTGGAGCATGGCTTTCAGGCTCCTTTCCAGCCAGAAACTCTAGTCTAGACCTTTGCTGTCTGTTCCCATAGCTTGCCACATCCACCTGGCTTTCTAGTGAGGGATTTAGTTGCTCAAAGAAACCTGAGTCAGGACTTTGGAGAAAGTTTAGATGAAAATAGCCAAGTTGTTCAAGATTTAAAAGGGAACTGAAGTTGTTTATCCTACAGAAGAGAAGTCTTGGGGTGAGTTGGAACAGCTGAATCATGAGGGCCAGATTGGTATACTTGTAGGGTTCTGGGAGAGGAAGTGAATCCATAAGCACTCAGCATTGGGCCACAAGCAATAGGCAGAATTTGAATCTGGTCCTGCTGCCTTTAGGGAAGAGCTCCCTGAGATCAGGGTGTGGGGCTTTGAAGCAGTGAAGTGCTACTGAAACCAAGTTGGGAGTTTCTCTCTGCAGAGAGTAGCGAAAAGGATAATAAGCCCCAAATGTGATAGGATTCTCTCATTCTGCAAATTGGGACTGACTATGCTCTTATGTGTATGGCAAGCCTGCTCTGCAGAAGTCAGAATGATGCTCTAGGAGGTCATTGTCTCCCAAATGCCTGTTCACAGGGCGGTACTTCACTAGCTGCAGAAACATGACTAAAGAGTGTGTTTAAAATAGATGTTGCCAGGGCCCCACTTCCAAAATTAGATGCACTGTGTCTTGAGTGGGTCCAGGCATCTGTTTTTAGCACTCTACCCCAGAAATTCCTTATGTGCTGCCAGGTTGGGAGACCTGTAATACAGGTTTTAGAGTGGGAAGAGCTTGACCTTGGAGGCAGGAATGGATGGGGTGCCCAGGCCCTCCCTGGCCCAGCGACCTCATGGTTCTGTCTCCCCACCCAGTGACTCTGACGGTTGCCAGCGTGAAGCTGGAGGTGCACAACGGTAACATCGTGGGGGCCATCCAGCTCCCCAGGCCCGAGGTGGCCCCTGAAGGTGACACGTATGAAAACATCTTCCACAACTTCCGGGAGTACCAGATTGAGGTTCGCAAGGTGCCAGGACACTACGAGGTATGAGATTCTCCCTGGTCAGGCTCCCCTGTCACCTGGGGCCGGAAGTGCCTTTTTGGGGAACTTCACCTGCAGAGTCGAGGGAGGTTGCGTGGCGGAGGTGGGTGGGGAGGGAGGGTTGAGATGGCCTCAGTCCTCAAGTATGTGCTTCTGCCAGGTCGCAGGGAAGACAGTGCCTGCTAGGTGTCTGTGGGACATTGTATGACTACAGGGGTGGGGGGGGCATTGTATAGCTATGGTTTCCAAACCTCTTATAGGTGGAGACTTTATTTTCTTTTATAGCTGGGGAAGTAAGGCTCCAGGAGGCCCTCTAAGCACACTCCCCTAAGGGAGAGACCTGGAACCACAAAATCCATCTTCTTACCTATCCACCACGGGCTTCCCAGGTGGTGCCCAGTCATAAATAACCCTCCTGCCAATGCAGGAGATGTAAGAGACACATGTTCGATCCCTGGTTAAGGAAGATCCCCTGGAGGAGGGCACTGCAAACCACTCCAGTATTCTTGCCTGGAGAGCCCCATGGATAGAGAAACCTGGTGGCCTATAGTCCATGGGGTAACAAAGAGTCAGACATGACTAAATCAACTTAGCATGCATGCATGCATGCATCCGTTTCCACCACAGTTGACTCCAACCCCTTCTGGGAAAGTCCTCAGTATCTATAAAACACTTCCTTTTCTCTTTTAGTACAAAATAAATCATGGTAATCACAGAGATCTTGGGCTGCATTGATAAAGCAGGGTTTGTCAGCTTAGAAAAAGAACACTGAAGGAGGTTGACTTCCAGTGCTTTAGAGTATCTCTAAAGGCCCCTCTGGCTCTCATGTGCCATGGAACAAGGATATCATGTTTATTGCTCTGGTTGTTTTCATTTCAGGCCCATGGCAAGGTCAAAAATGAAAGCTTCAAACTCCCAGTCCCGAGAGGGGTGGGAGAGTTCTGTGTCAGGGTGAAACCATCTGTCATCTCCCGAGTGAACAAGGAGGTCTGGTCCAAGGAAGAGTGCATCTTGCTCACCTCGCAGTGTGAGTTGGCTGGGGCTGCTGTCTGGGCAGGAGGGAGGCAGGAGGGAAGGAGGCAAGGCTGCCGCCGAGGGGCACTGTGCTGGCCCCCCACCCGCCAACACAGCCCTCCATCCTCACCCAGCCCCGGTGAAAGAGCTCCTGTTGTCTCGATTTTAGAGATACGGGAACTGAGGCTCAGTACGTGTAAGTGACTTCCAGGCTGTGGTCACAGCGCCAGGTCTCCTGGCTGTGCGGGTGCTTCCACTGGAACCCAGCTAAGCTCCCAGGAGCCCTTCCCAGCCCCGCTCAGTCAGCTGTGATGGTTCCTGTTTGTCACAGTCCTCAGCTGAATGGAGCTGGGGACCCCAAGGGCTTCTCAGAACTTTCCCTGCTCCCCCCCCCCCACCCCAGAGGAAGCAGAACTGAGCTGGCTCTTCTCTGCAGTTACAAAAGTCAGCAGACACTGTTACAGGCTCCCAACCAAGTGCTGGGTGGGGTGGGGGCGGGGGTGGCGGGCAAGGGAGTGCGGGGTGTGAAGGTCACGGTTTTGCCTGCAAGGATCTTACAGTCTGCCTAGGAAGACAGGGCCTGGCAAGAGGAGGCCGCATTTAGCTACTTAGGACAGTGTATGTCGAGTGCCTGGCGGGTGACGTCACAGTCAGTGGACTGGGACGGTGCCTGGTCCAGTGGGGGCAGCGTCCAGCAATGACCAGAGGGATACAGCACATTTCAATTTATAGCAGACACTTACAAGCTGGTTGTTATTTAAGCCTCACTCTCAATGAAGCAGAGCAAGGCACTATCTCTGTGCCAGGTGGTCTTACACACTTTTTCAGCATCTGCTCACTAATACAGAAATAGTTTTGTGTACAGGTCTGGGTTCAAATCTCAGCCTCACCACTTATGCAATATATCACCTTAGACAACTTACTTAACCTCTCTGGGCCTCAGGGTACTAGTCTATAAAAATAAGGGCGGTAATAGTATTTACCTCTTAAGGTAAGACTAAGAATCAGTTCACATAAGTATTGTAGTCCCCCCTTATTCCCAGGGCATACGTTCCAAGACTCCCAGTGGCGGCCCTGCAATCATGGATATATACTGTTTTTTCTTGTACATACATACATATGACAGAGTTTAGTTTATCAATTAAATTAAAGATAATTTTAAGTTAAGAGAATGTCCAAATTGCCAGCATCATTCCCCTTGCACTTTGGGGCCATGATTGAGTAAAATAAGGGTTACTTGGACAAAAACACTGAATACCACAACTGCCCATCTGAGGCAGCCCCTAGGTGACTTACAGGCAGGATCTTCTAGACAAAGGGAGGATTCGTGTCCCAGGTGGGACAGTGATAGAGTGGGACAGCATAAGAGTTCAAGTTACTCAGAATGGCACATGATTTAACTTATCAATGATTGATTTCTGGAAATCGCCCATGTAATGTTTTTGGACCACAGGTAACTGAAACTGCAGATTGGGGCGGGGGGCTGTTTTAATGGGCTTGGTAGATGATAAATGCTGTGTACTTCACAGCCACATGTGAGGTAGGCACTATTATTGTGACCATTTTGTAGATGGTAAAACTAAGGCTCAGAAAGACTGAGTAATTTGTCCACAGCCTCACAGCTAGTAAGTGGTAGACCTGGGATTAGAACCCAGTTCTGGCTGCTCCCAAAGCCTCCCTTCTTACCTGCTGTGCCAGCCTGCGCCACAGCTGTGTCTGCCGTCATGTGAGTTCTGTGCAAAGACTGGTGGCAGAGCCCATGTGTCTAGTGAGGGATCCTTCAGGGTGGAGGTTGGAAAGTCAGGCAGGGATTCCCAAGAATCCAGGGACTTCCCTGGTGGTACAGGGGTTTAGACTCCTTACTCCCAGTGCAGGGGGCTTAGGTTCAATCCCTGGTCAGGAAACTAGGCTCTGCATGCCACAATTGGAAAAAAAAAAAAAAGAATGTAGTGGTGGCCTCCAGAGTTGTGGCCTTGAGGTAGCCTAAGGGGTTGGGAGGTGGTTACTCGGCCACTCACTGAGAGGCTCCTGAGAGGGGCCGTGGGGACCGCCCCTCCACATCCCATGGCCTACAAACCCATCTCTCTGGACCCTGCAGATTTCACAGTGACCAACCTCAGCATCTTTTTCACCTTCGTCCTGCTACTCTATGGAGCCTTGGCCTTCTGTCTGACCTTCCAGTTATATCTGCGGCGCCGGGGGAAGCTGCCTGCTGTCCTGGTGAGTCTTGCACAGAGGCCACCGCCCCATCCTTCCTTCCCAGCCCCACCTTCCCAGCTTCCCTAGGAGTCCTCCCAAGACTCCTAGAGGCAGGGCACAGCCTCCCAGGCAGTCCATACCCTCAGCCCTGATGTTATCAGAGGCACCTTCATCAAGCACCATGGGGTCGGAGGAAGAACTTGAATGCCAAGCCCAGTACAGAGAATGTTGCCTTGTAGTGGCCCAGAAAAAACACAGTAATCCCAACCCGCCTCACGCCATTTTGTTACTATTTGCTAATAACTGGCCGCAGACCAGCCCCTTGGCATTAGTATCTCGGAGACAGTCAGTTACAAGACTCACTTTACAACAGAGGGAACTGAGGCAGAAAGAGATCGTTACCTGCAGAGAGCCCCACAGCCAGCAAGAGTCAAGGCCAGAGCCCAGCCTTGCCCATCCCTAGAGGCTGTGCTGAGGGCTCTGGAAGAGAACGACAAGGGGCTGTGGTCAGAGTGGAGAGAGCGGCGTGGAGAGGATGCTGAGAGGAGGGCTTCCTGGAGGAAGCAGCATCTCCAGCCCTTCCTGGGAGGGGTGGCGGCGGGGGCGGGTCTCCTCTGACTGCACAGTGCTGACAGATGCTGATTTGTAGTCAGTCAGCCTCTGAAATTCAACTTGTCCCATTGAGCAGCGTCTCCAGACCTCAGTCCATCTCTGGCCTGGGATTCAGAGTGGACCAAAGGTGGTCCCCACAACTGACATTATTGGGATGGTCAAGGACTCAGCTAGAAGGGTGGGCTCTGTCAGGGAGACAGGAGCCCAGGGAAGCTCACAGATGGAAGGTAGCCTTCCACAGGGTTCCCAGGATCTCTAGGGAAAATAAGGCAAGTGGCAAAGGCCCTCTGAAATGATTTTGAGGAAGAATTCCTGGATGGGCATGGAGCGGGGAGAAGCAGGGTGAAGCTGCCTGGTGAGCGCACCGTGGGGCCTGCCCTAAGGGATGGGTAACTGGAAAGCAGAGCAGTGGGAGAGGACCACTGGATAGAAGTGTCTTAGTTGAGCTTGAGGAAAGACATCTAGTAAGAGAGTGGGCAACGGAACTACAGTTACCAAGCATCTACAACACGCAAAGTGTTGTACGGAAAGCAACTGAGTAAGTGGGCCCAAGAGGCTTGATTAGGTCTGGAGGGACAGCCAATGAATCAAATATTAACTTTAATGGAAACCAGTGAAATAGACATAGATGTAGATGCAAAAATGCCAAAGGAGATGACAAGCAATCTGTAGTTTTTTTGTTCCTTCTGAACATTTGGATCAGAGAATTAAATCAACTATTAACTTTAATACAAACTTTGACCTAGATGACATGGCTGATAAGAGGCAAAGCTGGAATTTGAACCCGGAAAGTGTGGCTCCAGAGTGTACATCCTTAGTCACCAAGCTATGTGATATTAATAGGGATCCAACCAGTAAGAGTTGCATTAGAGTCATCACATACAGAGGGGTCTAGATGTGCATCAGTGAGTCAATAAGTCAGTCTATAAACCTTAGGAGTGCCTTCTGTGTGCCAGCTCAGTTTAAGCAGCTCTGGGAATAGAGTGGCCAATAAGAACAGGCAACTCCCACCCTCAGGAGCTTGTGAATATTTTGTTGGGTATAGGGAGTGAGCATATCTGTGTATATACATGTGGGAGCACAGAAAACAAAAAATAACTCCAGAAACTAAGTGGTAGGAATAAATAAACAAGGTTGATAGGGAGAAGGGAGATCAGGAAAGCCTCTCTGAGGAGATGACATCTGAGCCAAGACCTGAATGATAAGAAGGATACAGTCATACAAAATGTTTGGGGAAGACTATTCCAAGCAGGAGTAGCCTGTCCAAAGGCCCTGAGGCAGCACTGTCTGGAGCAGAAGGAACTCCAGTGCAACTGGGACAGAAGAGCTAGGGGGAAAAGGGTTAAGTGACTTCCTGGGACTATTAGCAATTAATGGGGACTGAGCGACTTCACTTTCACTTTTCACTTTCATGCATTGGATAGGGAAATGACAACCTACTCCGGTGTTCCTGCCTGGAGAATCCCAGGGACTGGGGAGCCTGGTGGGCTGCTGTCTATGGGGTCACACAGAGTCGGACACGACTGAAGCGACTTAGCAGCAGCAGCAGGGCCTCCTCAACTGCTAGTTCTGTGGTTGTTCACTGACCCACACTGAAGCCAGGATGTGTTTATGAGAGTAACACTCAGGGAGTGGAGAAATGATCTTGGTATCTCACCTCCAGCATTTTAAAAGATGAAATAAATAGCGTGGAATAGGATGGGACAGAATACAATAGATCACAATGCACAGGCAGTAACAATAAGTATTATTTTGTGAAATTGATTTCAGTATATGAATAATATATTTGTGCGCTATTTATATCTTATGTAACATTATTATGTAACATGTTTCTTACTCAAGGCCCTACTGGGGGGAAAAAAGGTCTGAAACACATTTCTAGATCTCAGTGGGTCCAGCCAACTCTCAGGTTTGAAAAGCACTGCTGATGGAGCTGCCTGAGAATGTTCACCTTCCTTGCAGCCTCCCATTCTGTCTGTCATTCTGTCTGAGCTCTGAGAACACAGGCTTCTTAGGTAGCTGGCCTGAGTCAAACAGAGAATTGCACGAGGAGGAAAACTCGATTCTGAAACAAAGCCAAAAGGACAAGCAACCTGTCCTGCAGGCTCTGCCGTGCCTCATCTGTTGGAGCAGTCTCCTGAACCCCTCGCCTCTCCTGGCTGCACTGGGGTGGGTTCCTGCCGGTGACCCTTCCGCTCCTCTCACTCTGCACTCTCCTCTCCAGGTCTTCAAGAAGCCCAGTCCCTTCAGCCTCATCAGCCAGTTTTCCCACCCAGAGACCCAAGATACCATCCACACCCTGGACGAGGAGGCCTTCCCCAAGGTGACTCCAGAGCTGAGGAACTCAGATGTGCACGGCAGCACTGACAGTGGCTTTGACAGTGCCAAGCCATCACTGCAGACTGATGAGCCCCAGTTCCTCCTCCCTGCCTCCGACCCCCAGGCCGGGGGGACTCTGAAAAAGGGGATGCCCCAGGAGTTGGAGAACAGCTGCGGTAGTGGAGGCAGCAGCAACAGTGCAGACAGTGGGATCTGCTTGCCAGATCCCCGCCTATGTCCTGGCGCGGAGCCCAGCTGGGAGCTGCAGGTGGGGAGCGACAGCCGGGACCGGGAGGACAGTGGCATTGGCCTGGTGCAGAACTCTAGGGGACAGCCTGAGCATGCTCAGGGTAACGCAGCTTTGGGCCATGTGAGTCCCCTGGGACCTGAGGAGCCTGCAGAAGAAGACCCAGGGGCAGGGGCCTTCCAGGGCTACCTGAAACAGACGCAGTGTCCAGAGGAGAAGGCAGCCCAGGCAGGCGGCCTGGAAGAAGAGTCTTCCTCAACAGAGTGCCTTGACCCCCAGTTCAGGACGTGCCTGGATACTGAGGCGGGCTGGCCTCTACCAGCCCTGGCCAAGGGCTATGTGCAACAGGACCCCCCTGAAATGACTCTTGCTCCTTCACAGACTCCTGCAGGACAGTGGGACCGACCAACTGAGGACTGGTCACTCCTGGGCTTGACCAGCTGTGGCAACCTCGGCACATCTGACTGGAGCTTTACCCATGATCTTGCACCTCTGGATTGTGTGCCGGCCCCAGGCGGTCTCCTGGGCAGTTTTGACTCAGACCTGGTCACCCTGCCACTGATCACCAGCCTGCAGTCAAATGAGTGAGGCAGGCTAAGGACTTGCTTTTGATTTCAGCTGCACACTGCCTGGACCCAGAGGATCCAGGGGCCAGAAGTGAAGCACAATTGCTGCAAGCCCAGCACTTTGCTGCAAGCCCAGCAGGCCCAGTAGGTGTTCAGGGCAGGAGGAAGCTAGATTAACAAGATACATAGGTGGCATTGGCCTGCTCTGCAGACAGGGCCCTGCAGACTCTGGCAGAGCTGAGAAGAGCAGGGCAGAGACCTCCCCTCTCCTTGGAACACATCCTGTGCTTTAAAGGACTCTTTGCTCAGGGGGATCATGAGGCCACCAGGCTGAAGTCAGCTCAGTGAGCCAGGCCTCCCCGCTTAGGCCGTCCATGTGTCAGGAGAGCCTCCAGCAGGATGGAGGGCTGGGAAGATGAAGGTATCAGGGCCGCCAATGCAGGGTCCACTTCTAGGGGAGGAGGGAGGAAACAGGAGCCAAAGGGAGCTGAGATCCAAAAGGGGGCTTCTGACTCAGAACCCTGGGGATGTCTTGTATCCATCTGCAGATAGTACCCTCTTTCGAGCAAATAGAGCAGCAGCCCCCTGGGGCACTTGGAGTAGCCAGGTCACACACTGCCCTCATCCTGCTGCTCCCATCACCTTGCTGACAGAACCAGAGAAACCATGGATGTTTGTCCTGGTCCAAACACAGCCCTTCAGTCGCTCTCTGGGCTTGAATACCACCTTATCTGCCCAGGAGGGTCAGAGTTAGGACCTGCACTTGTGTTGCTGCTGATGTCCAGCTACAGGACAGGGCACTGGGCTGGGACCTCTGTCCTCCCAGTGATCAGATGTGGTGAGCTTGGACCAGTCACTTCTCAGAATTGGACATTGCTCAGTCGTATCCAACTCTGTGCAACCCCATGGAGACTATAAACTGCCAGGCTCCTCTGTCCATGGGATTCTCCAAGCAAGAATATTAGACAGAGTAGTCATTCCCTTCTCCAAGGGATCTTCCCGACCCAGGGATCGAATCTGTGTTTCCTGCATGACAGGCAGATTCTTTACCATCTGAGCCACTTATCAAAGGGCCATGGTTATTCCATTTGTGAAATAAAGACTCAGTCTCATGCTGGGATGTTGGCCAACCTAGCTTCTGGGGTGACCCCTCCAACCCCACGTGATGCTGGGCTGGGAGGAAGCCATGTCCACACAGAGCTGAGGGCCGAGGGACAGCCCCACGCTGAGGGCTCATCCGTGTAGCAGGAGTGGATGGCATTGTGCTGAGACAGTGACCAGACCCTGGGCCCAGGGAGGGGGCAGGTGTGGGCCCTGCTTCCCCACAGTCAGTTTGGGATCTGTCTGTACCTGTGAGGAGGGAAGCTGTATGCCCCCCAGGTCATCCTTGGCCCTGCCTTCTCCGTGGTACTCTTGGAATAAACATCAGGCCCAATGAATCCAGTCAGAGCTCCTCCACTCTGCCAGGAAGCTCATAGATGCCAGTCCAATAATAATTCCCTCGAGAAATAGGTCTGAGGGAGGGCTTCTCAGCATTTCCTTGGAAGGTTTGTTTATTTATTTATTTATTGAAAAGGCAGCGTGGTCCAGGGAAAGAGTTCTGGGCATTTCGAGAGCCTCGGAGTTCTCATTCTGACTTCACTGTTCCTAGCCTTGGGACCTTGGAAAGTCACCTTTCCTCATCTGTGAAACCAGGAAATGTTGCCTGACTTGTTTTGTTTATAAGGTTCCACTGAGAACATGAGTGCGAATGTGGCTTGAAACATAAGGCCCTGTTAATGAGTTGATGTATGTTTTTTCTTCCAATAAATTGTTGGGATCACAGGAATCTCAGGAAACCAGTCAGATTTCTGATGACACAGTGGCTGGTAGAGGCGTGAAGTTATTGATGATCAAGGATGATAATGAATAGGATGTGTGACGTCAGTCAGATTTCGATGACACAGTGGCTGGTAGAAGTGTCAAGTTATTGATGATCAAGGATGAAAATGAATAAGATGTGTGATGTTCCTTTAAGGCAGCAAGACTGAGGACTCACACTCAGATCAGGTCTAATTCCTCCTGTTACCATTTATTGCCTGTGACCTTGGGCAAATTCCTTACTAAGTCCCCTTTTCCTCATCTATAAAATGGGAATAATAATTCCTCATGGGGATGTTGGGAGGTTTAAATGAGATCACACATAAAGAGTTTAACATGTACCAGGTGTGTGGTATTCCAGGCAAAGGTAGCTGTCATTGCCTTTGGTTTTCTTTTTTTAAATTTTTAATTGGAGGATAATTGCTTTACAGTGTTGTGTTGGTTTCTGCTCTACGTCATTGACTTTTAAAACTGTAAAGGGAAATGAACAGTTTTTCTTGGAAACTGGTGAAAATGAAAGAGATCTTTAAAAATGTATATTAAATTATGACAAAATTGTTGAAAGAGAATGTAAGCAAAGATAATGAAGGAATTCCCTGGCAGTCCAGTGGTTAGGACCCTGAGCTTTCAGTGACAAGGGCCCGAGTTTGATCCCTGGTCAGGGAACCAAGATCCCATAAGTCACTGGGTGCCACCAAAAAAAAGAAAAAAGAATGATAGTATAGTATAATGTAAAGATTATGTAATATAATGAGAGATAATGAAAATGGATGTAAATGAAGGGAGTATGCAGAGGTTCTTTGTTGTAATTGTCCAGTCACTAAGTCATGTCCAACTCTTTGTGACCCGATGAACTGCAGCACGCCAGGCTTCCCTGTCCTTCACTCTCTCTCAGAGTTTGCTCAAACTCAAGTCCATTGAGTTGGTGATGCCATCCAACCATCTCATACTCTGTCACCCCCTTCTCCTCCTACCCTCAATCTTTCCGAGCATCAGGGTCTTTTCCAGTGAGTCAGTTCTTTAGGAAGACTGAAAAGGAAACCGTGGGGACAGAGAACACTGTGTTTTGGATGTGAATTCTGACAAGTTGAAAGGAGACCCCGATGGCCCCTCCCTTCCAAGAAGAGAGCAAACCGGGTGTCCCTGGAACCCTCCAACTGCTCCCCCCAGCCTGGAAGTGTGTCCCAGAGGTACTTCTCATAAGTGCGGAAGCCATCTGCATTCAATTCTAAAAGCAGCCTCCTCCTTCCCCGAAAAGCCACATGTGGGTTTGAGGCTCTCCCCAAGCTCAGCCCAGCAGGTGGAGCAGACCCAGGGCTCGAGGCCTGAGTCTGGGTATGCTTTGCCCTTTGTCACATCCTGGATCCTCCAGGAGGTGGCCAGGGATACCACGTCTCTGCTCCACTGTGTCGTCTCCAACCACACCTCTCCCCTTTTAATCTGAGAAACTAACCAGTTCTGGGGAAGCACTGATCCTATCGCCTTCACAGAACTTGACGTATCTCACACTGTTTGGGACCTGCTCAGACTTTTGCCCCAAAGGTCTTCTTGTCAGATTGGTAAGAAGTGTGAGATTGGTCACTTTCTCCTGGAACTGAGTGTTGGAAATGGAAAGGCCCCTGGGGCAGGTTGGATGAGGGCTGGCCGAGTCGTTGAATATGAAGATTCAGGAGAGAGGGGGTCCAAGGATGTGGAATGAGTGGGAATTTGGGCTGGATCTCCTCCCCTTTTCAGCTCAGGACACCCAGCACAGCCAGGGCCATGGGAGAATCTGAGAGAGCTCCTCCAAACAGTGGTGAGATGCTGCCAGACTTCTCAGGAGTTTGGAATAAAGTCCCCAAGAGACAGCCTGGTCTGTTCTGACACTGAGAAAACCTCCTGTGAGGGCTTTTCCAAGCTGAGGAATGGGAGATTCTGCGTGTCTATGAGCTAATGGAACTTCCTCTTAGTAAGGAGAGGGGAAATGGGTCAACTCTACTGAAGAGGAAATTCTATTGAACTGTGCTTTCCTGAGTTTGTAAATAGCTATGGTCAAAGGGTCTCCCTTGTCTTCCCCGAAGATTTCCATTTCTCTCCACCCCATTCCCAATGTACACAGGGTCACAGAGCACGCACGACTCCTGAGATAGTCCCACCCATTTCACCTAATGGAGCCCCCAGGGCAGCGCGGGTTGCGGGGGAGGGGGATGTGTCTCTGAGCCCCACCTGCGAACAGCAGAGAAGGGGGCACTAACATGGTGCCCACCTGGGACAGTACGCTGGTAACCGAGCGAGGTAGTTCTAGCAGTTAGGGCTGATTTTATCAAGCCCCAATCTAGAGGACACTAGATACTTGGAACGCATGACTCATCATTTCCTGTGGTGCTTATGGGCTTGGGGTTTCTTTTAAAGCAAATCCACAATTTAAACATTTGTATTAATCACTTATGATCATTTTTATTACTGATCCACCACACCTTTCCTCACTATCAGCTTGATCTTAACTTTGTTATCACTCCCATAAACATTCAGAAAGGGTGCTGGTAAACACTGACAGGGTCCAGTAAACACTGACAAAAGAAGGGTTGGGTGCAGTGAAATTTGTGTTTCAGAAAGATAACCCAGGTCAGCCCCCGAGGCGTGAGTCAGAAGGGACGAGGTAGAAAGCTGAGAGAACTGGTTGGAGGCATTCTTTACCAGCATTTCATTTCTTCAAGAAGTATACTAGTAACCTCTACTATGTGCCCAACGTGGTACTCAACCCTGGGTCAAGAGTGGTGAACAAAAGATGCACAGCTTCATGGAGGGCACCTTCTGGTTATGAAGGTAATCACCAAGCTACTCAACAACAAGTATATATTACTATAATCACTGAGAAGCGTCATGAAAAACACTACTATCCACACAGCAGATGAAGGCAAGAGGCAGAGAAACGGAACGGGAGATGTATTGGCTCAAGCTGCTACAACAAAATACTGTAAGGCTGGGTGGCTTCAACAACACAAAATTATTTTCCATTGTGCTGGAGGCTGGGACATCCAAGACCAAGCTGTTGGAAGATTCAGTTCTTAGTGAAGGCTCTCTTCCTGACTTGCAGATGAGGCTAAAGATTCATGATGGGTGCTTCTCCTTCTCCTTACTGAGTGGGATGGGATGGAGGGAGGGGTGGCAGAGAGCTCTGGTTTCTCTTCCTCTTCTTACAAGGACACTTTTTCCCATTGTGAGGGCTCCATTCTCACAACCTCATCTAACCTTAAGCACATCCCAAAGGTTCTGCCTTCTAATACCAGCACTTCAGGGGTTAGGGCATCAACAGATGAATGGCAGGACCACAAACATTCATTCCACACCAGAGGCTTAAATGATAATCCAATCAAATGAGCAGGGACCGTGGAAATGGAAAGGAAGTGACAGATTTTAAAGACATTTTTGAAGGGAGAATTGGCAGGACTTGATGATTGGCTGGAGTGAGAGAAACAGGAACCAGAGGTATTGATACTAATCATACTTCAGTATGGGTTTCCCTGGTGGCTCAGACGGTAAAGAATCCACCTGCAATGCCGGAGACCTGGGTTTGATGCCTGGGTTGGGAAGATCCCCTGGAGGAGGGCATGGCAACCCACTCCAGTATTTCTGCCTGGAGGCTCCCCATGGACAGAGGAGCCTGGAGGGCTACAGTCCTTGAGGTCGCAAAGAGTCGGACACGACTGAGTGACTAAGCACACATACTTCAATGTGGATGGTAAAAAAAAGTGAAATGTGGCCATGGAAGGGAGATATGTGGGCAGGCGATAGAGGGGAGATGGTGAGTTCTGGAGTCGATATGACAAGTCAGCCAAGGGAAAGTTCCTCCAGCCTTGGCAAGGCAGACCTGACACTGGATGAGGGCTCGGAGCTGAGGATTCAGATGTGAAA